TCCTGGAGAACATTAGCAATATCTTTAACAAACCAATTTCTTAGTTATATAAATACAAGAATTGCAAGCATTTGGTTAGTTTCCATTATATCAAATTACAGATTGACTGTATCAATAAAACACCATGTTATCAGAAGCAAGTGTGAACTCTGTTCTTCACCACGTGGATCTAATATTTTACACACATATTTATGAGTAGATGTATATTTATATATGAAAATCTGTGTTGGGGTTTCTGGTCACGATATTGCTTGGAGCAATTTACACACTGCCAACGGTTAATAAAGCAAAATTTGAGAAAATTAACACATTTTCGAAAGTGCATATATAGGTATAAGCACGTAAGTGTAAGTATTTGCTGACCAAAAGGTGGGTCTGCTTCTGCCAACGATTGCATGCCAATAAAAGTGAAAGAGGAAAACTACATTTAAATGTGGAGAATTTTTTAAAATTATGTTTTAATTGTTTTGCTTTGGGCTTAACACAAAAACACACATATAGATACACACGCCTGTATCTGTAAAATCTCTACTTTTACGCGCTCATTAAGGGATTGAGTAGAAAAACGATCAAGCACAACTGCCTATAATGGATACTTGCGCATGTGTGAACATTTTTTTGTTTTGCTAGAAGTCATGTCAAATAGAGGCAATTTTCAAAATCTCTTACAACAAACGGCTTGTTTAATATATATTTGACTCGAAGCTTTTATGTTATAGGTCAGGTTTAGACGATCACCAAAATTAATTGCATTCGCTTTCAAAGAAAAAACCGCTTCAAGCGTTGAAATCAATATTGCAGCACTTTAAAGCAATATTTCAGTGCTCAGGTAATTATTTGACAGCGTGGTTCAAAAATAGAGATAATGATTTTTATAGTAGATATCTACTTTATTCCAATGCGGTTGGAACTCTTAGCCTTTTAAGCTTTGAAATACATAAATACCTTTAAGCTTTGTTATTATTAATAACCCTAATAAGTTAGGTGACGACAATAGTTAATAATTTTGAATAACTCAGATCAAAATACAAAACAAGAAAAAAAAAGGTTAGCTTTAGATGCACCGAAGCTATAATACCCATCACAAATAAAAAAATGTTCCTTACAAAAACTTGATTTTGATCGGCAGTTTGTATGGCAGCTATATGATTTAGTGGTCCGATCTGAGAGAGATTATAGCGTTATCTTGGACAACAATCCATGTTAAATTTCGGGAATTATTTTGTCAAATAAAATAGTTTTCCATATAAGGACTTTATTTTGATCGTTCAGTTTATAAGATATGCTATATGCTATAGTGGTCTGATATCGCTGGTTCCAACAAAGGAGCAGTTTCCGGGGCGGAGAAAGAGACGTATGAAAAATTTCAGATCGATTTCTCTGAGAGACTATTTCGCGTATATACAGACGGACAGATAGACGGGAACCTTAAAATTCATTCAACTCGTCCCGCTGATCATATAAATGTATATATTTTTATATAGGGTCTCCGAAGTTTCGTTCTAAGTGTCCGTTCTAAATGGCAAACTTAATGTATAAAAACAGCAGAAATGGATTTTTAAAATAAAAAAAAAAAGTAAAATCTAAACCAATAAACTGTTTATTCTACACACATCCATATGTAGAACCAGATTGTAGTAGGATTGATTACTTTCATTTTCGCAGAGACTGTATTTTGATCGGGAAATCTTCGCAAAAGCATAAATCGGTATAAGCCCCACACACACAAGCACACACTTAATAAACTGGGGAGCGTCTTAAACGCTTAGATTAACCGACAAGAACCGATAATTGCAAATTGTTGAAAATATATAAAAACGACAATGGACACACATGCAAAACTTGGCAGCTAAGACAAAAGAACAAAGCGAGCGTAATAAAAATGGACTCAGCAGCAAATAAAATAAAATTTATTACACGCAAATTTCTATTTCAATGGCCAAGTTGGGAAAAACTTCATTGTAATGCAACGCGCAGCACCAGCGACACGTGAGCCCGAGTAAAAAACGAGAAAACGAGTAAGCAAATCAGCAAAGCATTCAACAGCTTGTGAAGCCGCTCTAACAAGCGAAACTGGCGGCAAAACAAACAGTGGACCGGAAAATAAGCAATCAGCGTCTGCGTTCCAAACATAGAATTGCACATTCTATTCAACCGTGATGATGAAAAGGAAATATGGAGAGCACATTGCTAAATGCGAAGTCGTAGAATACTCGTAATCGTTGCCGGCAGCTAGTTTATGAGCAGACAAACACTAGCAAAAAAGCAAAAAATTACTCATGAAATATGTAGCTAAGAGAATCGACTAAATGACGGACGCTACTTCGAAGTTGTATACTAGCTTCAATACATGCATACCCAGGTATGCAGGGGCAAATGACCCAATTGTCTACTGACCCACTCTTCACTTCACTTACACAAGAGTGCAAAGCCCTAAGACGGGCGAAATAGAAACCGCTTTGTAGAACTGTTGTGGTGTTTGTGAAAATTATTATGTGTTTATGTATATATTGTATATGTATGTATATACGGCGATTTATATTAAGCCCAGTTGGAAAATTCATTTCAAGATTAATATAATAAATTTACTCAGACAGATGTCCAAGAATGTTTTTATGCTATGCTCACATTAAATTAATGTAGCGCTCAATAATAACTTACCAAATATGTATATTATTTAATTAAGACGAAAATACTTAGTTTATCATAAACTAATACGAAGTTTATTGATGTTATTTGGAACATCACAAATAATAAATCTTTAGGATAGAGTACGATTTGATGGAAGAGATTTGAAATGTTTTGTGCGCAAATAAAATTGAGAGTTCTAGGTATGAACTCACTTAAGATGTTATATTAACTTATGAATTTCCAAAACTCGATTTTTTTTTTTGCATATATATCGAATGTACGTATTATATATTTGTAAATATTGTTTGAAAATTTGAAGTTGATCGGGCAAATAGTTTCTGTGTTAGTATGAGCGTATTTGTAGGAAGTTTTAACTTAGCCTATAACTTTAAACGCGTTTTTCTCCAAACGCTGTCGGTGAAGAAAATTTCTCCGAAACGGCTGGACCGATCGACTTGACTTTTCACACTGACTTCTTAGATATATTTGACAGGTAATGATCGAAGAAATAAGATGAAAATAATTTTGATTATTTAATCTTCTCTGAAGTGTAGCCGGTTTTAACCAGAACAATCTTCTTCACTGACATCTTATTTCGGTCTTTCTGGAGATCGGCTATAAGATCAAGAGAATCCAAAACTTTTCAATATGAATCACCGACTATTAAAGTACATTAAATTTTGTAATTGTACATACATTTTTTTATTTATTTTATAAAAAGCGTCTTCAAACAAATTTACGAGAGAACTCGGTTTTTTAAATTCATGTTTTAACATTTAATTAAGATGTTTTACACTAATCAAAATATTTTATGTCTACGATAAATGATTTTGATTGGTCCATTACTGGCATATTGGAGTATATTTGTAGATATGTGTATTTAGTTAACCGGATTTAAGGAAAATTTAGAGAGGGTGTAAAACTAATTAGCTTCCAGAGACGTTATTTACAGAGCTTTCGGCGGATAGGTCATTCAAAGTAGCATGTCTAAATCGTGGGCCTATTATAATTTAGTTTAGTTGAGTCATCTGACTTTTCCCTACTGGGTTCCGGCTGCAGACCACTATTCGCTGGTTAGTAAGCGCATTATGCTGCTACTTAATGCTAGCAATAAAGTGTTTTGAGTGTAAGACAAAGAAGGTGAAGCGATTTGCTGCTGCTAAATGTATGTATGTTTGTCAAGTGGTTGTCTGTTGTTGCTCGTCCATAAAAGGCCAAACGCAGCAGAGTGCTGAAAGCGCTAATAGACGTTTAGTCGGGTATTTAAATAACAATGGCTAGTAATAAAATGATTTCGTCTGTTAAAACACAGGGAAAGAATTCAAAGTGCTGAAGAACATAAATAGTGGCGAAGAGGAAGTGGCGTTAAAAAATTAGCTTGTTGATGACTACAAAATTAGCACACAATTTTGGGGGCAAAAATTATTTTAAAATGAGGTTTGGCGCTCAAATAATGGGCACCTTTGTGTTAAGTTAATCTGCCACTAAAAACAATTAGACATCTATATAAGTACATATGTATGGTATATGCCAGCCAACTGAGCTAGATGATGAATATGTAGAAATGTGTATGCACTTAATTATATTAATTATTTTTGCGATCTCTCAATTAAAGTGTGCTAAAAACTAATTGACAGTCATGGCAAATTACAGTTGCCGCAGTTGAGGTCACAGTTACCGTAACTCTTTCCTAACCTACGGCGCAATCGCATAGGGTGGGTTGTAGAAAGTCTTGGAGACCACGAACAAAAAAAAAAAAAAAAAAAAAAAAAAATAAAATAAACAAAAACAAAATTTAACGGCATTTATAATTTAAAAACTCGGAAAGCGAATATCACACTTTTTATTGATATTTGTTTAAACGATGTGAATGCTCTAGATCTCATGCATTTCTGACAAGATTGCAAAATAAAAGTAATTTATTTAGATACTATTTTTTTTTTAATATTTAAATTAAGTTTAATTCTCCATATATTTATGAAGCGAAACGTTCTAATAGGTTAATTTTCTTATTTGACAAGTTATCTTCTCGAAATTCGGCATATATTTTTGTCTCAGAAAACGCTACAATCTCCGAACAAATTCTTCAGATCGGACCACTATAAGCTGTATGCTTTACAAACTGATTGAGCAAACACTAGATAAAGATGTCGATAGTCGGTATAGGGGAAGATGCCCACAGTACTTTTTCGAAATACTAATTTTAATGGACCATGCACTTTTCGCCAGATCAGTATATATAATTTATGATAAGACAAAAAGTGGGAATAAATATATTTTACTAACGAAATTATCATTCAGGTCACAAATATATCATGTAAAAGTTTTAACTAATTTAACCGCAAATTTTAATTATTTATTTTTTTAAGAATTCACACACCAACGAGAATTGTGCTCTATCAAAATTGACGAAATTTCTAAAAACATCATTGTCACTCAGAAAAAAGCTAACAACTTTCGGTGAAAATTGGCTAACACACATGATCGACATACTATATGTATGTATTGTACTTACGGGAGAACAAAGTGTAACAGCAAAGTGAGACATACAAAAATCAAAAATGAACTCGCACAAATATTTTGTTAGCAACAATTGTTTATAACAATGCATTTTATTTGTTTCAATAAATATCATATATGGTATAGGCTAAAACTAAAAATAGATTTAAGTTTACTTGTAGCCAAATATGAGCTTGTACAATTGTCAATTTTTATAACAAGTGCATTTATTCTTAATTAAAAAGAATCGGCTTGATTGCCCAATAATAATATTTATTGGGTCGGTGTATGAATAGGTGAACAATAGTCATAATTAATAAGTAAATAAATATGTTATTTTAATAAATACTTTGTATACTTGTTATTTGTGCACAAATTCACTGAAACTAACTTACAACTGTAATTATTTATTGCTATGAATTATTTTTGGGCAAAGTAATTGGCAATAAAGACAACCTACTAGGTACATATGTTGGTTTGCAAAATAAAATTGCTATTATGAACTCACATACATACAAATATTTATATAAATAATTGTGGAAATTTGACAAAACGCCTGTTTTAACTCGAAGCTTTTGCTAGCTAAGCAAAAATTCATGAAAAGTATCGATATTTTTTACGTGTACTCGATTTTTAATGATAGATGTGGTAGAAATATTGGCAGAGAACGTTTAAATAGAAAATAAAGTTATCATTTAAATGCTTGGCATAATGCTGTGTCCAAGTTTTCTTTTGGTCAAATTATATTGAAATAGTTTACAATCAATAAAACCCATACAGAGTTTAATAAAAAATTTCCACATAGATATTCAATAATTATTCGAAGAAAACTTATATAATCCCACCCCTTTTCAATGCGACCATTTCACTTTCATATTTATATATTATTTGTAAGAATGTATGTATGTACATATGTGTGTATGATTTTACATAAGAGATCAAACTAAATTAAAAATACTCCGACATACATAAATATAAAAAAAACACTAAAGATTTTTCATGAATTATTTTAAATAACGAGAACCGGGGGATTATTAAATTTTATAATAAAATAACAGTCTTTGAAAACATATGTATTTTCTACAATTCTTGAGAATAATATCCACATAACCTAATTCAAACATGAAACTAAAAACCCCACACAAAATTATTAATCAAGTGAGTAGAAAAGAACGGCTAACCTTTCGCATAACACTCTAACTTAAATAAAACGTGTCTTGAGACTCTAAAACTGGAATGTTTTACAATTTAAAGTGCGCATACTTTACTGATCAATACTAAAGAATAATGTGATTTTTTGGAACATAAACTCCTAATTCTAGTGTAATTAATTTTTTGTTCAAATTAGGCAATAAATAAAAAAAAAGATTTTTCAAAATGTAATGTGATATATAATTTTGAAATTAGAAATTGTTAAACATCGGAATGTGTGAAATCAAAAACATGCAGTACATATTTTTAATTCGTTAAGTTATTGCTTAAAAATACTGAATCTATTATCCAAGAAAGAAAGCAATCAGCATCTACAGCTCATGCTGTGACATTTTTACCAATTTTTTGTTTGCATTGAAAAATATCAAATGATGCGCACACACACGCATACACATCTACAAGTATATGTATGCAGGAGCTCAAAAATCAGCAGACAATTTCGCGGATCTTCACCCAAGTCTGACTAGCTGCTGGATGTTGCTTGGTTTAATTCAGCAACTAATAACTGTAAAAGTGTATAGAGCTGAGACAAAAGCACGGATGCGTGCTGTATAGTCGGTCGGTCGGTCGGTTTCACTAATTTGCTGCATACTCTGCTGTTTTGATCTATTGATATTGTATAAAATAGAAATCTCGGCTTTGTTTCTGCTGTATTGTGACGCAGTATCTGTTAGAGGGGTGTATGTGTGTGTGTTTTCATTTATTTTTTGTTGTTTTAATTCATAAAGACAATGACTGCGCTCGGTGATGGTGCAAATGCAGATCGGACCCGTTGATGGAGTGCGCAGCGCAAACAACACTACCGCATACATATGTATATACACGCACGCGCACAGCAAAAACAAGCAGAGATAAAGTTGCTGCAATAAACAACATTCATTTTCACCGCACCAAAGCGGCGGATGCAGTATTTAACTTGGAAAACAAGGCAGTTTCTCTAGACGGCGCTCTTATTATTTATTATTAATAAGTACTCGGCAAGCAGTCATTGTGAAAGGAAGGGAAAATGTACGAAAAAATGTTAAGGTAAAAAAAATCAAATATACATTCTTACATATATTTTGTGAGAGATTTTACATAGATAAATTAAAAAGCGGAGATTGTATAAAGGACTGGAGTTTTTTAACTACTCTCGGTGAAATGAAAAGTTTAGGCTTGTTAAACAGTGAGCTAGCTAATTCCGTTAGTTTCTATTTGGCAAATTAGGTTTTTTATTTGGTGCGGTTAGTTGGCTGCTTGACAGAACAGCGCAAGTTGGTTTTCAAAAATTCTAAAGAGAACGCTTTATATTTGATTTTAGTGTATTGAATATTTAAATGTATGAATTTCGTTGTCTTGGGTATGCAACAATGAGCTGACAGCAAAAGATATAAAGTTACTAACTTCAGTTATGTACTTTATAGGTTATGTCGAGTACGATTTTAAGGAAATTGATCATTTTTTGGAATAATAAGTCTGAAGCTAATTATTTCAATTAAATTTGCATATGTTCATCACAAAAGTATAGAGGGCGCTGATATTATAAAACCTAGTGTAAGTTTAAGAGAAAAATATAGAAAACAATGACTTTTGATGTTATTAATTAAACCTTAGATATGTATATAGACTGAAATCATTTTGGAACTTTCTTATGGTGAGTGTAGGGCGATAAATCACACATATTATTTTAAAACCACACTGTAGTCATAAACCTAGTATATTTCTAAATTTAAATTATTAAATTTTCAATTCTTTCAAAAATTAGACCTAACCGTTTAAGCTTATTTACTCTAAGCGCATAGTGGAAAGAAATGCAAAACGGCGTTAAGGGTAAACCGCAAAGTAGTGAAAGTATATATATATAATATTATATTATGTAATACCACGGCGCATACTAAGTATAAATTTGCAAGTTTTTCTGTTTCTTGCTTTCACTAATACGCTCCGATGAGTTTAACCAAACAAATTTGCTACTAACCGCAATATTTGCTCCACTATGCGCTCAGACTTAAACTAAAGTAGAAAATGTATTCTACGCGCTTAGTAAAAATTGTAATTGTAAATGTAAAAATATGAAATATTTAATGCAGTGGTAACTTTAAAAATACTTTCTTCAAAATATAATATGTTTAGAATGGAATTATGCCGTTATATCTCATCGGCAGAGAATTAATTGAAAATACACCAAAACTAAGAAATTAATTAGTATCAGTTTTAAGCCTAGAAATAAATCTTTGCAGAAACTATACTACCCGTATGCATATAAATCTGTTATATATAACTTAACCGTTACTTATAATTTTAATACCTAAATCTAAACCATAACCAACTTTTCAATTTGCTGTGTGTGTGTGTGTCACTTTATGCACAAATAACAATACTAAATAAATAACAGTTAAAATTTACGATTTTCTAAAGAAGCAATAAATACCAAAGTTAAAAATATAGAAATATGAATATATGAAGTTTAATATGTATGTGTGTGTAAAAGTCAGAGTCCATGTTGTAGAACCGTTTAAGGTTGGCATTAAGTTTGAAGTCTCCTCAGTGGTTGGCCACCAAGCAAATGTGCAGACGAGTCTCTAATTCGCGATCACTGCAGCACACCCACTAGAAAGGTCCACAGTCTGAGATACCAAACCAACAAACACAGAATCAAATGCACAATAAAACGAACACAATGTCTAATTACGCGACGTTCGCCCGTCACTCGTGGCCATAAGCGATTGCATGTCAAGCCATGACTGCCATATAACTTCATTCAACTGCACGGCGCTCAAGTTGGTGCTGCGCGTCGCCTAGCTTAGAGCTTGGTTCATAAATTTGCATGTCGTGACGCCACGGTGCAATGGCTGGTTGGTTGGTTAGGCGTACGGACGGATGGACGGACATTCGTACGTTCGCCCGGTGGTTTGTGCGCAGCTGATCTGTTGTAGCTGTTGTGGTTTGGTGAGTGCAGAGAAAGTGAAAGTTTCAGTTTAGCTCTGCCTTTCTGTTACGGCCTACAGCCAAGTCAGTCTGGCTTGACTGTTTGGTTTTCAATTATTTGTTTTTATATTTTTCGTTGTTTTTATTTTTGCTTTTGTATTTTACTTTTGCTATTGTTGATATATGCAGTGGCGTTGTCGGGTTACGGTTGCGGCCGACTGCGGTGCTCGATCCCTCGGGTGACTTATACACTTTTTAGCCGCAATTATATACGAATACATATGTATGTATGTATATGTTTGTACATATATGTTTTGCTCTTTAGCAGTGGTTTTACTATTGTTTTTGTTTGTGTTATTACATACAATGCGTGCTTTGTTGAGCTTTTAATATAGTTGTTTTTGCAGCATTAGTCGCTTTGTAATATTTTTTTTAGTTTTATATATATATATATATATATATATATACAAGTATATGTATATATACTTTTTTTTATGTGCCATATTATTATTTCATTTGTTCGTTTTTCGTCTCCGCTGTTTAGTAATGCGAGAAACGCTTTTGTCGCGGCGGTGTTAAGCTTGTGGCCGTAGCCGCTTATGCTGTTGGTGCTTTGATTTTGTAACCAACATTGTTGTTGCTTATCTGTTCTTTTTTTCCGTTTCTCTGATTTGACCAACAACACAAGCGGAAACAGGAAAAAACGATGTCGCAATTGTAAGAAAAATATGCAAAGACGATACACCAAATTCAGCTGTGTTTTATTTTTTCTTTGCGGTTTTAGCATGTGCTTGTGTGTTGGTTTTTGTTAAGACAATTCACTTTCATCGCATTGTTATTTTTTTTCACAGTGCTTTGTTTGTGTATCGCTCAATTTTGTTGGTCGCTTGTTGCGTTGCCGACCGACCCCTGGCAGGCCCTTGAGCTACACAATAACATAGTTTTCACTTGGTCTATAATGATGTTGCGTAATACTCTGCCAATGGGCCAGGTCCGATTGAAGTGAATGCAAACGAAATTGAGGCGTGTGTGTATTAGGGATAGATCGCATACAGTGGACGGGTTCGGTGTAACCGTTAGAAATGTATCCCAAGATTTTGAGGGATTTGCAGGAACTTATTATCTGCCCACTTTTTGAGGAGAGCGCTGTGAATTTGTGCAACAAATCACTTTTGGCTGCCGTAGTTATACGTCTTATCTTTATTATACGCTAAGACTTCATTATTTAATTCATCGATTTACACAGCTAAACATCATCTAAGCGATCTCTGTGAAAGTTAATGCGCCCATATGCTTATTCACATCCAAATCTAGTATTTTTGTTGCCGTCTCTCGTATGCAACGCTCAAATTTTGTTGGCCACACTAAATCAAAACAATTATTCACGAATTGTTGATCGTGTTGTTGTTGCTGTTGTTTTTCGTTTAACGATTGTTGATGGTTAAACTGTTGTCGCTCGTTTTCCCTTTGAAACTCGAAGATGTTTGTATTATTGTCGTTATTATTAACATTGAAGAGGAGATTCATATTTGATGCATTTAGAAGAAACTGTTCCTCTGTGCTGGCTGTCGCGACTGTTGTTGCTGCTGTTGTTGCCATCACTGGCCCAACGTGAGCTGTAATTGTGTTGTTATTTACACTGCTAGTATTATTGTTGTTTTCGTCATTTATGGAACATTTCACAATTGGATCGATCATAAAATTCAAATTGTCAAACTTGAAGACCAACTCATCACAATTCACAATGGCAGCGCTATCGATGCCACTATCCGTGGAGAAATCACTGCTGCAGCGTGAATAGGCGCTCGTTGAAAGCGTCGCCGCCCCCGCTACCAGTTCGTTAGACAGCTCGCTGCCGCAGGTTTCGATAAGTTTGCGTGAAATCTCGTTAATACTCTCTGTTAGCAAAGCATCATCGGTTACAGGCAGCAAGGCCGGCAATGTGACGCTACCTGCTTTCAGTGAACGATTGGTAGACGTTGGTCCTGCGTTCAAGCCTATGTCGGTAACTTCGAAAAGTGGTGCTAGTACAGTAGATGTTTGGTGTATTGCACTCTGACTGAAGAAATCATCGGCAATATTAATGCCACTCAGTATGTCACCGTAACCCGAGTCATTCGAATCGCTCAGACAGCCATTCGTAGCAGTTCTGCCGCCGAATACGTCACATAACATATCGTTGCGTTTCGTCGCATCCCGATTGCTATCGGGCACATTGCGATTGGAGCCAATAACACCCACGCGATCTGCGCGTGAAAGTGCGGCTGTGGGCGACATGGCGCCGTCTATCAATGGTGTCGATGAACAGCAAGACGATGACGCCTCCGCAGAGGAAGTATGTGAGGGCGACGCCGACGTTGAGGAGGATGTTGATGACGAGGAATGTGTGCGTGCCGATGCGGTTGACGAATCGGAGAGAGAGCGCCTCAGCGGATAGTCCCAAATTAAACGTAGCGGATCACAGACGCTGCAGAAACAAATGCCATGCTCATCTGGTGTGTCGTCACATTTTGTCATTTTGACGTCGTTTAGATAACTGTTGGATTTTAAACAAGCAGATTGCAGCAGACTTCTTGGTTTGCAGTTCTGCTGTGCCGTGTTTGAAGTAAAAGCATGAGCGTCTGTTGGTTGATTGTGGCCAATAAAAAAGTTGATACATTTAGGGTTGAAGGCGTTCTCATTGACGCCTTCAGGCGGATTCAAATATGTTTGTTGTAATTGTTGGTGCTGCCTAGAAAGCAACTGTGACATGCCTAATCCGCTAATTTGTGACGACTTACTCTCCTTATCCGATGCGGTCGTAGTACTTGAAATCGCATCTAATTTCAGGAAAATACCATTAGTCGCCGGTTTGCGATCCTTCTTTCGCCGTTTGCGTGGTTTAATTATACGCGGTAGTGCTGCCTCCCCACTGTCGGTGTTTTCTTTGGGCGTTTCAGACGCAATTGGGATTTCTGCCGTCGCCGGCGTTGTGGAATTCTCCTTGTCACGTGTACTGAGTGCAGCTGGTGCAGAGTGTTGGTAACGAAGAGTGCTGCGCGTAGGTTGGTCACCATTTGATTTTACGGTGCACGTGGACGTTGCGGGGAGAAAGGCATTGGATCCATTATTTGGCATAGACCATTTTTGTGCGGAATTTTGTTGCAATTGCTGTTGCTGTTTGTGGAGCAGCAAGGGCACACCTTGAGCATGCGCAGCGAGTTGGGAAATCTGTGAACAACTGGCAGCATTCGAATTGCGAGTCATATACAAAGTGGGATGGTGCAAATTGTACGCCTGTTCGACGCCACCAACTGTTGCCAGCTTTTGATGAGGCACGGGTGAACGTGATAGTTTGCGTTGGACGCGTTGCCGTTGGCTCGCTGTCAAATGTGTGCTGGCGTTGGAGATGAGCGGTATGCCGGCGCATTCGTGGATACGCTGCGGATTAATCACCGACGTATTGGATAGCTTGTTGAAGTTGTGTGGATGCGTGGTTGCTGCTGAAGTTGTGTTAGAGCTCAACTGATCCGGCGTTGGACCCGAGCGAGATTGACTCGCAGAAGCATAACCATTAAAATGATGTGGGGCATGTGTGGACTGTTGATGCAACGTCTGCAGGCTACCTAGGTACTGGTGATATTGGTGCTGTGGGTGCGAGTGAAGCCCTGCTGTAGGTGCCAGCTGGTTCAAACTTTGGCTCAATGGCAGAGGCGCATGTCGACCAATTCCAACACTTTTGTGAACAGTAGATGGATGTGCGGCAGCATTGTAGAGGCTTTGTTGAGGCAACCAATGATTAGGCGTTGGCGGCTTGAAAGCTTGCTGCTGTTGTACGAGATGTGGTTGCGCGTGAAAATGGTGTTGTGGCTGGTGATTGTGATGGAGGTGCTGCTGCTGTTGCTGATGGTGGTGATGATGAAGATTTTGTTGTTGCTGTGCTTGTTGCTGATGCGGATGCGGCGGTAGATGTGAGTGCAATTGGGCAGTCTGTGTCAAAGGATATGGTGGCAAGCTCCGTAGGGCCGCAGTGTTTGCAGCGTTTTCTAGCGTACAACAGCCGCTATTGGCATTAGGTCGCATAATCCTTATTAGTTTTACAACTGTTGTGTAGATTTACTCGCGGAAAAAAACACTTTTTTTGGGGCGCCTAACAACTGCAAGGACATTACGCGGAGCTTCTACTATTTTACTGTTTTATTTTGTTTTTTATTTTTATTTAGGTTTTTTTTTCAATTTTTAAATTTTCAAGGACGTTTTGATTTTTCGTTCGCGTGTTTAAGTGCGTCTGCGTTCTAAGTCCACTTGCCAACAAATGGATAATTAACCCAAATCGTAACCACAGAATACACACGCACAAATTTACAATAACAATCCAAGCTGATTTTATTTTTGTTTATGTAATTTAGTTATTTTTTTGAAATTCAATTATTGCTGGCCCACACAACAGTTAAAATTATTTTCGCAAATTTATTTATGAGGAAAATTAAACAAATCACAATTTCGAAACAAACACTGTGTAATCGCTTCAATCGCTTCAGTGGAAGCTAAAGCGCAAACGCTAAGGTGCCGTCAAAATGCATTGGCGGTCTTTTTTTCAAAGTGGAGTTGTTCAAGATTTAAAAAAATTAATCACAACTGTGCATGTATTCGGTTTCGGTGTGTGTTGCAAATTTCACAATTTCCTTTAGCTTCCACGCATATAGTAAACGCCCGAAAATGTTACGTACTTGTGCTAGAGTATCTGTAGTGTGCGTAATAAATGCAGATTGAGCCGCTAACGACAACCGTTTTCGAGCCAAACTCGTTGAAGACTAAGCTTACTGCTTCGGCGCTGTGTTGCGACAAGACATGACCACTTATTGCTACTACCTCCGCTGCCACCGCTACTCAGGTGGTAAGCGTATTACCAAACTGTGGCGCAACTTGCAGCAGCAAGAGCCAAAGCAACAGCGTCAGCCTTACGAAAACACGGTTAGACAGAAAAGTCAAAGACTGGCACGCTACGTTGGCTTTCCAACCAAGGCTTGCATAAAGCTTCGCTTGCGATTTGTCAACGCTTAGAGCGTTGGTATTGTTTTATATGGTTCCCCTCGAAGTCTCCCTCTCTCTCGTACATTTTCTCTTTAATGTTGGCACTCTCATTTCGCTCACCGCGCTCTCGACTGGAGCTGCAGTTTTTGTGGTGGCTTTGTTGTTATGGATAATGACTTATTTTTCGAAAGCTCAGCTCCAGCCTACTACATTACCACTTACACACATGTATGTATGCATGTCTATGAGCTGACGGGCGCATAATTACATATGTATGCCGTGGTAATCTCTTTGCTTTTATGCTAAAGTCCGTCAGAAGCTTTTCGTGTCGAGGTCATGTACAATAGTTATTTATGTGTTTCTTTTGTTTTTGGTTTTTCAAACCAGTCTTTTATCTCGAAGTTTAACAACTCAATAGCACAAAGTGGAGTAGAGGTTCTTGTTGTAAATGTTTCATTGCACTGTTCTCCACTGTGCCTCCGAGGCGCAAACCATCGTAATACCCATGCGTAAGTTTGGTTGTAACCATTAGGTGCGATTCGAGTCGTAATAAGGGGCATCGCTCTGCTATGTTTGCACTCATAATTGAAGGTTCTAAATAGCCGCCATGAGGTGTTGTAGGCCTTGTGGCGATTAGATGATGATGGCCTTATAAGCCAAGCAGTGTGTGTGTGGTGTTAGAGATATCGCAGACTGCTTGGAAAATTTAAATATGTGCCACTTCTAATATAATATATTATATTTCATTGGGATTTTTATTTTAACACAACTTGGAAATATCGAAAAATATGTGTAACAAGAGCTTTTGAACATGCTTTTATTAAAATATTTACGTTGTTTTATATAAAGAATACTCAGTTCGAGTTAAGGCCACTTAATAAGGAATTATGAAGATTTTTTTTTGTGTTTTTGTAGTTGTCCGATCTGAACAATTCGTTCGGAGATTGTAGCGATGCTTTAGACACAACAACAACAACAACAACAATAATAGTCGATGCCAAATTTCGTAAAAATAACTTGTCAAATAAAAGGTTTTTCATACAAGGACTTAATTTTGAAACAAATCGCTTATTGGAAAGAAAAGGACGTGTACAATATTTCAGATCGATAGCTCCAAAAATGAGATACTAGTTCGCGTGTATCTAGACGTACATGGCTAAATCGACTCAGCTCGGCTCTCTGATGATTTAGTTATATATACATTTTATAGGATCTCCGACGTTTTTTTCTAGCGTTAATAAACTTCAGGGTCCAGGAATATCATAAAATTATTAAAGAATATTTAAAACTTTCATGAATACTCGAACACATTATTTTAGGTTCACATACAACATCTTTGTATGCTTATCGATAATCTTTGTTTCCATAACATAGTTCAACAGATTTTCCTTAAATAGAATTGAAAGACTGACGTATAAAAAAATTTGTTTAATGTCAGTCATAAACTAGGATGGAAAGCAGGTTGAGTAATCGCTAACCACTACAACAAGGTGGTTGGCAATTTAGTGCAAAAAACTTATGTTTATTTCGATAGATGCTTTTTTACATTATTACTGACAAATTGCTTACATCTGTGTGCGTGCGTGTTAATACAGGCAAATTTGTCTCAAGTTACAGCTGCTGGCGGTACACGAACTGTGATTGAAATGTTTTGCAAGGAAACTTTCTCTTTTCACTGTTCCTACGCAGCAGCCAGTAAGGCTAATGCGACAAACAAACCAACTGATTGAAAACTACGGAGGGAAAAAAGCGCAAGGCAACAAACAAACTGGTACCGGAGGAAAGCAACGGGTACTGACCGGCCGATCCGGCAACAAGTGCGTCACAGCATGTTTGTGTCTGGGAGTGTGTGTCGGTGAAGATTTTCCAATCGTCTGCAGCCAGTGGCACCTTTCTACGCTCATAGCTCGAATAGGCGTTTATGACCACAGCAACCATAGTGAATGTTGACAGTAATTGCACTACGCGATCGTTTTTGTTATAATACTTATTAAAGAAAAGTGATCATGAAATAATATTGCAATTTGCAGCCAGTTTGCAATAGCGTACACACAAAGCGACGATAACAGTAAAAGCACGTACAAGGCAGACAGAAAGGAGTTATGAAGAGCACCGATAAGCGATTTCGTTTTCATTTATTTTGGCAACATTAGTGATGCTCAGTACATTTAAAAAAAAAAAATCGTATAATATTGTTCATAAGCGCTGCTCAGACAAAAATAGTTTCAGCAGATTGACATTATCCGTTTATAAAATTGTGTTTTATAATTTTTTATATTTTCAAAGACAGATCAGTTGTTGGCAATTGTTGTAATTCTGACGCGAATTAGGTTTAGTACTTTTGCATAATTATAATTTAATATGCTTACACGATTATTCTGTGTCCAGATAACCAAAAATTTAATTTTCTTGGAACAATTTTTAGCTCTTACTTATAATAATAAATAATAACTAATATTTTTTTATATATTTTTGATACATCGTCAATTGTATTCAATATCTCAATTAACTGTATTAAAGTATTAAAAAAAAATTCAATTTCATACTTCTCAAACCTACAGCTATGTCCAACATACTAGAAGCAGTGTCAATGTTTTTAAATGTTGGAAGAAAAGCTTTCTAAAATACACTTTTTGATCCATTTTGATTTTGTATAGCATTAATACAATTACTATTGAATCCTTAGGAGAATATAATTAAGGCAAATATTTTTGGAGAACGTTGCCAATTTCATAGTTTTTGGCCGGAAAACAATTCGGATACGTTTCGGTAATATAGATTATCACTGTCGTGAAAATCGTGTAACATTTCATAATGCTATACATTTTTTAATTAATATAGACAGTACTCACCTGATAAATTGTCCAACATATATGTTAGCAGTTTTTGAGTGCCATTTGGTTCGTTATAGATGGATAGAAACTCTTTTTGTAATGGATTTCCCATTAATCCCAGGACGTGCAAATGAAAGAGTTTTCCAATTTCATAGGGGAGAACTCGCAAGTAATTGTTGTTCAACAGAAGTTCTCTGTAATTAAGTATAAAGTATTTTAAACCGTCATATTTTTAAAATAAGAAGTGATATTGGATATCTAATTTTGCAAAATAAAAATCTTCAAATTTCGCCTCAAAATTCAAACCATTTAGATAATTTTCTAAGTTATTGCCAATGATTTTTTTTATTTTTATCGGTTAATGCAAGTTTACCTCAATTGTATTAACTCGCCCAATTCTGCAGGCAAACTGCGCAACTTATTGCTTGATAGATCCAGTGTGCGCAAATTGCTTAGCAAACCAATGTCGCCGGGCAAACGTAACAGCTGGTTGTCATTGAGATACAATGCTGTTAAATGTTCAAATTCCCACAATGAGGGACTAATATTGCGTACACAGCCTGTAAAGATGATAAAAGATAAATTACAGTGAATTATATATATACGTACATATGTATGTATGTACGTAATCGTAGTTATGCACACTTTTTGCTGAAAGAAAAAAATACCAAAATATATGGTTAATAAAATCGAAATTATTTGTAACAATCATTTGTGTACAGTTTCTCTAAGTATACACTTTCTCTAATACAGGGCACTCCGTTTTGTATGAAATTTTAAACATTTAACTAAGAACAAAATTAATTTGAATGTACAGATATATATTCAACAACAAAAACCAACAGTTAGAATAAAATCTTGCATACCTGTTATCTCAATGCCAGTCCATGAGGATTTTTTACCAGCAGCCACATCTTCAGCTGACATAAAAATCTGTTGTCGTCTGTTTGCACTCTCGTATTTCTCCTTATTACGAGACATTTTGTATAAGTTTCCTACACCAAACAGAACCACAGAAAAATAATTAATGTGTTACCTTCTCTGAAATGTTAAGAATATAGTGAAATTTAAAGTTAAACTAAATTAAATTACGAAAAAAAAAAACACAAATCAATTAGGCTCGCGAAGTTAAGGTTGTTATTAACACAATTAAATTATTTAATTAAATGCAAAAAAACGTAATTCAATACATACATATGTATGTACATAGGTAATTAGTAAGATAAATGATAAGTTCGAAAATTACTGTATTTATAACGATTGAAATCGATTTCGAAATTTAAAAGGTATTTGTTGAATAAAAATAAATTTTATGATAAATTTAAATTCGTAAATGTTGAAGAAAATGATAACCTTTCATAATAACCGCCTGATGATAAGCGTCTCTGCAAAATATTAATAAAGTTTTGATTAATATTATTTCATTGTTATGTTTGATATGTGATAGTTGTTAGCAAATAAACAAGCAATAAATGCAAATTAAAAACAAACAATACAACAAATGTCTGGGAAGGAATTAGGGATTTGAACTTATCACAAGAGCATACGCAACCTGCCAAAATGTGGATATATATATATATATTTGAAATTTTTTAATTTTTAAGATTTTGTGCAGTTTGAATTCGGTTCATACCTTGAATTTGTTAGTTAAAAAAAAAAATATTTTGACACATTTTAGGAACCATGCAAGTGCAAAACTGAACTTTCTATAAGAATAAAATAACTGTTCCTGATAGTATTAAAAATACTTATGTATATATTGTTAATTTATTTGTTTAACCGGAAATGTATCTTTTTATACAGCCTATACTGACCATTGGCTTATATATAGATAGAAATAAATTGAGGCTTGCACCCTGAAACGATAAATTCCACAATCGTGCTATTGATGCGCCCCATTCGAATATATAGATTCAAAGACCTTAACCTGCTGTGCAGTCTAGAATCAATGGTTCGGGAGTTGTCGGCTCCATCTCACAAAGGCTATACTTCACAGGATCATCGGCTTATGATCTGTTGAAGTAAATTTCAAACCGTAAACTCGATAAATATGTGCACTTCAATCAAATTTGTTTAAAAAAATTGAGTGAATATATTTAGTAGGTAATATGATACCTGTCAAAGATTTTATATATAGTTTTAGAATGTTGTATCTGACGGAACTCCTCTACAGGTTAGGCATATTCTAACCTAATTGGCGTTTTAGTACCGTACCAGCACAAAAAGGAGTTTTAACTATCAGGAACCAGTTATTAAAGAAAAATGGACCGCCTTTTAACGATATGTATGTGCATTATTTACTATTTAATTTTGATATTTAGGAAGTGCAAATGGCATATGTGCGCGTTAAAGGTAAGTGCAAAAAAAATGACGTCGTAATAGCGCAGCAAAAAAGTAAAACATCTCAATTATGGCAACGTAGAAAAAACTCTCAATCGAAATTAATAAGGAAGGGAAACAAAATATCACATACACCTGCCTGCATTTACTTTTACCCAATGTTTCAGTACTTCCGCGCTAGCCACCGCGTACTATCAAGACCTGATTGCAATCACTGCTGCTGTTGCCACTATTGATGATATTGCTGCTGCAAGCTCGTTTCGTATTTACTGCTGGTAATATCAGATAACCGATACAACTAATTTTGTATAGCAGTAATACTTCCGCTTTCTCGCTAACTCCTTTTTTCCAATGTTGTTGCAGTTGAAATCTCGCTGAAGACTCTAGACGTTAAGGAAGCCAATAACTCAGCCTGATGTCGGTGAAATTGGGGCGCCCTTTTTGTTACGCTGAACTGCTTCTATCCTCCTTTATTTTGCCGTTTTTTGTATACTCTTTATTCGTGGTATTTTCTTTGAATATTATCTTACATTCTTTTCTAGGCGCGAACTTAAAATATGGTTTATGTTTTTTTATTTAAGTGAAAATATTTGCGTTTAACTAAATAACCACACTTCTTCCTTACTTCTGTTCTTCGTTCTTCAACTTTCGTTCACGGCGTTTATGCATTCCATTACCATTCGTTGTTGTGTTGTTGAGAAAATTGTTTTGTATACATTGGTGAAAACCGTCGTTGAAAACTGGTAACAGTGATGCCATCTCAAATGGTTAGAATGGTTTATAATTTCAAGCACACACTTTGTAATTGAATTTGTTTATCTAGAAATAATATTGTTATGAAAATCAAGAAAAATTGTTAATGTCTACAATCAATTTAAAATGTTTACGCATTATTATGATTGGTTTTAATTAATTGGAGAAATTATGTATAATAAGCCGCGATAGTTGTTTGTAATATTTTATATTTTGGCACAATTTTTGAAAAGTCTTAAAAAATAAAATCAAGAATTGGATTACACTTTCCTCGTTAGTATTTGAATTTATTTCTTTCTAAATTTTGCTTGGCTTAAATTACATTACAATATACTCGATACTTTGAATTTAAAATTCTAAATTTTTTAATATATTATACAAAATATATTATGTCTAAATTTACATATGCATAATTCGATTATAAAAATAAAAAAATTCAACTGAATAAAAATTAAAGACAAGTAAAAAAGGATAACAGATATTTTAGACTTGAAATTTTAGCTATATGTTAAGTAAATATTTACACCTACATTGCAAATAGAAGCTTAAATATATTCTTACGATTAATATCATATTTAGAAAAATACTACACCCACAAATAAAAAATATCGCTACGCTTTTCGGTGCAATTAACTTATTTACATTCAAATCGAAACCGTAATTAGAATTGATTAAATTCGAACTGTTCCATGAACAGTGCCTCCGTATGTTAGTTTGAATTATCACCAATTTCACTAACGGTAATTGTCATCTTCTCCTCGTCACCCGTACTATCATTATCATCGTCAAGCTCATCATCATCATCATCGATATCATCATCAACATAGCTACCGCTAGTTCCATCTTCATCGTCATCTTCTGCCGATTGCGCAATTTGCATGGCAACGCCTGATCCATTCACGCCAGCATTACCAGTAATAGCTGACCCAGTAATAGTGCTCGTCACATTGGATACAGCAGAATTCGACAACTCAATTGTCAACATTCCATTGGCTGTTGTAATACTTTTTGGTGTATTTGAAGTTGCGCCGCTATTCTGAAGGTCATTCCCATTTTCCGCCATTCGTTGCGAATTCGATTTATCCTCTTGCTTCATATTGAGTTCCATAAGATCAAGCGGCGATCGTACCTTAAAGTGTGTTTTTATATGCTTGGAGAGATGGTCGCTTCGCATAAATTTCTTATTGCATTCACGGCATTGAAACCGCTTTTCTCCGGTATGAGTACGCCTATGTCGCTGCAATTCATCGGAGCGAGTAAAACGTTTGCCACAGAATAGCCATGAACAGACAAAAGGTCGCTCGCCCGTGTGCCAACGTAAATGTGCACGCAAATGTGACGTCTTGCCGTATACCTTACTGCAGCCTGGTATATGGCATATGTGTTGACGTTTCCGATCGGCGTGCTTTTCTCCCTCTGTGCAATTGGGACAAGTGCAAGCGACACGTTTCAGACGCGGCTTTATTTCCAGACCTCCGACCATGTTTACACCCACACTGGAATTAATACCACTAAGCGTTCCTATGCCACTATTGGTGGTGCTAGTACTATTGCCCGTACTGACATCGTTAACATTTATGTTAACATTGACAGAGGTTGTCGCTGACGCAGGCACCGTTGTCGCTGTTGTTGCGTTTGCCGCATTTAATTGCGTTTGGAGTGCTTGCAATTGTGACTGCTGCTGCTGCTGTTGCTGCAATTGATGAGCTAATGCCGCTGGTGCCGTCGCTATTGTAATTTGCGTTCCACCGCCACTAGATGTTACCGTTGTATTGGGCGTCATTATTGTATTATTGTGTGATGCCATGCCACTTACTGCTGTCATAGTCGTGGGAAGTGTCTTCAACATGGTGGTACGCGTTTGATTAGTAGGTGTGATAGTGAAGCTTTGCGTTTGAGGGACGGCTGTGATTTGTATCGATGTGGGCAGTGATGTAGTTGTTGCGCTCTCGCTAGATGAATGTTGTTGAGACTGATCAGCTTGCTGCTGTTGGGATTGCAGTTGTTGCATATTTACAGTCATGTTATGTGGCACAACCCATTTTATTTGCTGAGGAGTTTGACTTGGATCCGGTGGTTCTTGCTTTATGTTTGTGATAAGCGTGTGCTGCACCTGGGAAGGACTTTGGGGTTCTGTTTTTGGTTGCACCAAATTTGTGCTTGCGGTAGACGATGTTGGGCCAGTCTGTGGAAGAGCTGATTGAGTTGCATTAGACACGGCGCCTGTATTAGATTGTAATTGCATCTGTTGCTGTTGTTGTAGTTGTTGTGGCAGAATGACATGTTGAAAACTCCCTTGTAATTGTGGTGGCAGGTGGTTCGCCTGAATTATTTGAACTTGCCCTATACCAGGAATATTTTGAATGGGCAGCGCTTGTATTCCCGACAACTGCTGCAACTGTATAAGATTGGGGGTTGTACCGGGAGCAGTTGGCGCTGAGGCAGTTCGAAGTTGTTGCAGTTGCTGCGCGGGTATCACTGTTACCTGCTGCCCTTGGGCATTCGTTATTGTAATTGACTGATTTGCTGGTAATTGTATACCAGATTCCGATGCTGCATTTAATGCATTTATGAGCTGCTGTTGTTGTTGCTGTTGCTGTTGTTGAGCGACCTAAAAATAAAAAAAAATTAAAAATGTCTTTTAATAAATATAAATTGATATTGACATACCTGCTGCTGATGTTGTTGTTGATGTTGAGCACTGGCAGCAGCCGCAGCAGCAGCAGCTTGTTGCTGTTGCTGATTAGTGGAAGCGGTTTGGGCTTGTGGCTGTTGAATGTGTATAATATTCGCATTTGGTGGCAGTTGAGAATATGACATTGCGTTCAAAGGCGCCAACTGCACTTGTTGTATTTGTCCATTTGGCGTCACTATTTGGGCGATTTGCGCGAATTGTGGTATTATTTGCATTTGGGTAGAAGGTAACGCAGCCGACATTGGCAGAGCTTGTGTGGGCATCATATTAGGCAGACCTGCTGCATTTAACTGATGTACGGGCACATGCACTGTCTGGTATATCGTTTGGCCCCCCCCAGTTTGAATTGGAACTTGTACGGCTACTGTTTGTTGTAGAGTTGGTGCTGCTGATTGTTGCAGCGCATGCGGAAATTGTATGAATTGAGGTATTCCCGTTTGATTAGTATTGGCCGATGCTCCTGCTGGTCTTAATTGCACATTTTGCAAAGTCTGCCCATTTTCTAACTTGATTGTGTTGTTACCTAGCAAGCTACTTAAATTACCCAATAAACCATTTGAAGCTGCAACAGAAGTTGGTATTTGTATGTTGGTACCGGGTATAGTAATAGTACTGGGCAATGTTGTAGTTTGGGTAGAACTTGTCGGAACTTGCGTAGTACTTGTGGGTGGATGAGTGGAACATGTGTTGCCGCTGTTCGAAGCGTTTGCATTACTGGCATTAGTTGTCGACTGATTTTGGCTTTGCTGTTGTTGTTGTAATATATGTTGTTGTTGTACAGCAGCACTTACAACAGGTACTTGTATATTAGTGCCAGGAATAGTAAACAATGTTTGCTCTCCTGATCCGACACCTGGCGGCAAATGCATAGCTTGTCCTAAGCCATGTATGAATTGTGGTGCAGACTGTAACTGCATTGCAGTTGGCGGAGGACCAGCAGTCGGTGCTCGCACTATTTGTCCATTAGGTGTTATAAATGCTTGCTGTCCATTAAAATTTATAGGTTGCGCAGTTGTTGCTAACTGCGAAGCATTTAAATTTGGTATAAAGATAGCTTCTTGTCCATCAATTGTCACCGTTTGCATGGGCTGCACAATTTGAAACATGTTTTGGCCCGGAATAGTATGAGCCTGCTGTTGTGTCGAGCCAGAAGCCTGCACAAACTGTTGAGGCAGTTGTTGCAAGTTAATGATTTGCTGTAGGGGCACATTGTTATTCCCATTTGCTGTTATTCCTTGAGCTGTAGGTGTAGCATTTACAAATGTCGCTTTTACTTGTGCGTTGGACGCCGCCGACGTTTGCTGTTGTAACCCTTGTGTGGGGGTGGATGTTGAGGACTGGCCAGCAGTGTTGTTTGCACTCGTATTTACGGTGGTACCGCCAAGAGCACTATTTTTGTATTGAATCATTTGGATAATTGACTCTAAATTTATAGAAATTAAACTCTCTTGTGTAGTCACTAATAGTTTCAAAAGTGCATTGCCTTTTCGTACTACTCAACTTCTTGCTTGACCACTTTTTTAAGTTACACTGTAGTCTTTTCACTTCATATTATGCCTTAATAATATAAATAATGATTATTATAACTTATTCACATGTTTATAACAACACAAATTCAACACATTCTTAAGAACTTTTAATAATATTTCATGTAAAATGAAAATTTTCAACCAATTTGTTTATTTTACTAAACGTCTTCAGGCGGCCATTATAGAAAAATCACTTTTCCAGTGTTTCCGTACTAATAAACTGTCATTTGATAAGTGCTACCATTTTAACTACTAAGCATGGTCGCTTAGCGAAATCTATAACCTACATAAAAGTATGAATGGATAAAATGAAAGTTTTGGGCAGAGAACGTATATACGCGTAAAGTAAATAAAAGGATTTTGTCTTCTTGTGAACTAAGAAAAATATTATATATTTTAAAGTTTAGCAATTTACATTCATTCTCTGTATTTGTTCTATGGGAACAGTAATGTTATATGACTAATACATTTTTGTCTTTTAAAAATTGTAAACACCCTGTGTTTAGTATACATGGCGGAGAATGTCAAATATTCGACAATGTCAATAAAAATAATATTAATATAAATAAAAAAAGTATATTGTTGCTGACGTTGAGTGCATGTAGATTTTAACTTTATCTGTCAGAAATGTACTTAGAATATGTTGCCGATTGTGGTTTAACTTTATAAGTTATTGTTTAATGAAGTAGTCGTAGTCTTGGATCGTTTTAAAGATAGCGCATAAACGAATTGATATAAGTTGATGCGCGATGTTGCGTTCAAGACGCCGGATCACATTGATTTTATGCGGCATTTGTTTAGGCCTGTTGATATTGGTTTATATATTAATAAACTTCGTGGCATTTTCGGAGGAGAATGTGGTATTATTTTAATATAATAAGCAAACAAAAATATTGTAAATAATCCTTTGTACTAGACTAATTTTGGGGCCATAGTGTCTAAACTACAATCCTTAGAGGATGGGCTCCATCGCCATGGTCAGGAAATGAAACATCTTAAAAATCGATTAGATCATCAGTGG